GTGGGGGGAGAGTGAAGAGGAAGTACCTTGCTTCTGGATTTAAAAATCCAGGACCCTACTCTGCCATTCCAGGAGATTCTGACAATTTGGCTTCTCCCTGCTGTTCCCAGGGGCCTCCAGCAGTGCAGGGGGTTGGAGGACACAGAGCAGTGCAATAGGCTGAGAGCCCAACCCCAAAATGCCCCCATTCCCATGGTGAAATCCTACTCTGCCCTGTGTTACCCCATGGTTTCCCTCCTCCCAGAGGGAAATTGATTAGTCCTAAAATCACCATCCCTGACACCAGCACAGGGAGCAGTAAAATATCTTCTTGTCATAGCCAGATCAACAAACCCCAAACCCAAGGGGTTTAGCTGGAGAAACAGTGGTTCCTGATGGGAACCATCCACTCTTAGTCATCCCCCACTGCATTTACGCAGCAAAAGGATCACTCAGCTTCAGCCGAGCTCTCTTCAAAGCACCCAAATGAAACTCATACGATGAAATCACAAAATGCACAATGAAGAGAAAAAAACCCAAACAAACTACAAATTCATATGACTCCTTTGTTTTAATATACACACASTGTGTCAATCCAGGAGCCACTGAGCATCCTGCCATTCCAAAATTCACCCAGACTCCTTTCTTCAAGCCCGGGATGAGGTGAGGGGGAAAGAGGGAGCTGTAGTGAAGGATGCAACATCCCCTAGCAGGGGCAGATCGGGTGAGGCGTGGGGTGTTCCGATGCCTTGCCCGAGCTGCTAAGTGCTCCCATTAACACAAGCCCAAGGAGGCATTTTAACCTTCCTCTCCCATTCTGCTGTTGCAAAAATAAGTTATTGTCAAAMATATCCGAGAGACCATCTGTGCCCATTATAGGACATTGCCAATGTTCACACCAGCATTGTTAGAAAATATTTGTGTCTTCAAAACCTATCTGCCCACTTGCCCCAGTTCTGATAAACCAGATTTCTAAAGAATCTTCACAAGGGTGTCTGGCTGTACAATATATATTTAAGGTCCTGTGGCCCTTCATTATTCAGACCCTATATAGTCATATCTTTTTCCTTTTTTTTTTTTTTTTTGCTTTATTTCCCACATATGTAATTCACAACTAGAACTACAGAATGACTGAGCACATTATCAGAAAAAAAATGACTGACTACAAGAATAATTATGAATTATGTATCTTTTTTGACTATTACAATTGTACTCTTGATATCAGAGCATGCTTTTATAAGGGACAGAAACCCATAAAATTGTTGAAATATCAACCATCTACAAACTAGAATTTCAATCTACTCAAACAACATCGAGATGATGCACTCAGTTTTTCTTAGAAGTCTTTCCCGTTGTTTGGAACAATCCAAGATGCAGACAAGTTTCATCAGATGGAACAAGGTTGCACAGACAGGACTTGTAGAGTGTAGACTTCCTTCCCCTATGGAAGTCTAAATTTATTACCAAATCAGTATTAGGAAAATTCACYTCAGTGAACACCAGGTCACCGATGTTAACACACATCTCTTTTTCCTATATTGGATGAGATGGGAAAAACCGCGGTTGTGAAAACCACTCCCATTTTGCTGTGTCATGAACTGCAAAGATGTTTAAAGAGAAACATGCCTGCATTCACTACATAACYAAGAACTGCAGTGATTCCACTCTGTTTATGATTATTGTGGGTGGCTCTGAAAAGAGCCTTTGGGTTTAATCAGTCTCAGAAAAAATTTACTTCACTTTAGCCTTGTGGCTGTCGGTTTTCTTGGGCAGCAGCACGGCCTGGATGTTGGGCAGCACGCCGCCCTGCGCGATCGTCACCTTGCCCAGCAGCTTGTTGAGCTCCTCGTCGTTGCGGATGGCCAGCTGCAGGTGGCGGGGGATGATGCGCGTCTTCTTGTTGTCGCGGGCCGCGTTGCCCGCCAGCTCCAGGATCTCGGCCGTCAGGTACTCCAGMACGGCCGCCAGGTACACCGGCGCGCCGGCGCCCACGCGCTCCGCGTAGTTGCCCTTGCGCAGCAGGCGGTGCACGCGGCCCACGGGGAACTGCAGCCCGGCCCGCGACGAGCGCGACTTGGCCTTGGCGCGCGCCTTCCCGCCCTGCTTCCCGCGCCCGGACATCGCAGCGATTCGATGAGTAGAGAGCAGCAACCACAAACTTCTGCAGAACCCTGGAGAATTACTGAGCTATCACCCTCCTTGCCTTATATACGGCGCCGGCGGATCAGAAGGGCCTATTCTGATTGGCTCCGACACAGGGATTGTCCCAACAGCCAATGGAAAAGCGAATCGAGACGTGTCCAATAGCGAGGCTCCGAGGCGTGCGGAGACCTGAGGGCGAGCCAATAGCGATGAGGCGATGTCAGCGGCGTCGTTATAAAAGCAGCTCCCGAGGAAGGGCCGTTGTCTGTCGCAGTTGGTAATTTCGTTAGCTGAGTGCGGTAGTTGTTATTGCTGAAATGCCCGAGCCGGCCAAGTCCGCCCCTGCACCCAAGAAGGGCTCCAAGAAGGCGGTCACCAAGACGCAGAAAAAGGGGGACAAGAAGCGCAAGAAGAGCCGCAAGGAGAGCTACTCCATCTACGTGTACAAGGTGCTGAAGCAGGTGCACCCTGACACGGGCATCTCGTCCAAGGCCATGGGCATCATGAACTCCTTCGTCAACGACATCTTCGAGCGCATCGCCGGCGAGGCGTCGCGCCTGGCGCACTACAACAAGCGCTCCACCATCACGTCGCGGGAGATCCAGACRGCCGTGCGCCTGCTGCTGCCCGGCGAGCTGGCCAAGCACGCCGTGTCCGAGGGCACCAAGGCTGTCACCAAGTACACCAGCTCTAAGTAGGGCGTCTCGGATCGTCACTATCAACCCAAAGGCTCTTTTAAGAGCCACCCACATRTTCCATAAAGAGCTTTAATCCCTTTATTTTAACTCCATCTTTGCTTGAAGCACGTTCTCGGACTTGCTTAGAGATCAATGTTCAATCCTGAGTATCAAAAACTCTTGGAGCAGTATTRAAAGTAAAATTAACACTTGAATCCTATCTGGTTTCCAGGCTTGTATATTTTTCTGCTCTACTGACCCCAGATAGAGGTGACAGCTTTATCTTGCCTGTTATGTGTGAGATATGTCAATTGCCAGCTGTTTATAGGGCACCTATCCTGTGCTATCCATCTCCCTTGGGCTGTCAGTCAGCAAAAGTCGTTTCTGAAATAAGAGAATGGAAAAAGTGCTTTTTCTCCCCCAATCGAGCCGGTTTCAGGCCTGGTCTCTCCCCTCACATATCCATACCACAGACAAAATGCCCTATATTTTAAGTGTCTTCAAAAATTTAAATAAAAGGGAAATATTTTTTTTTTCCTAATCCTATGCTGCATTGATCTTCCCTACCTGAAAAAATGTTTAAAACATATACCTTAAAGTATTAATTAAGCTGTTTCCTATTTCGTTTTATTACTTTAAAGAATCTTAATAATAGCTTGTTAGTGGCTTCAKGAGTGAATATATTCATATAAAGTGATTTCCTAATCCCTGCTGCCCCCTTATGGGTGTGCCTGAACTCTCTGTCATTTTTCGTTTTACAGCATGGGGTTMAGATCTCAGATTCAGATATGTAGGATAAAATGCAAATAGTGATGAAAAACTRTYCGCGATGGACACGATTCAAGTCGGACTTTAAGGACGTAGAAGTTAAATAAGTGGTACTAATAGTACCTAAAAGTTAAATAATGAACACAAAATACAAGAGAGAAAGCTCCCCAAATGAAACAAATGGCAGCTCTTAAAGGCCATATCTCTACCCTACAGAGGGTAGAGGAGGCAGCCCATATAGACCTAAAGTCCCTTTTTTTAAGACCTGCCATGAAAAAGGCTGTAGCACTAGTTTGTGAAATGAGCATRGTTTCTTAAAATTAAGATTTAAACATTAGATTTTTATGGCACCGACTCCTCTTTTTTGAGTCTGTTTACTGAGGCACTGCATATAAGTTTTTCTAAAACCCTATAACCSTATCTAAATTTCAGTTACAAATCATCTGTGAGGCTTTCAAGGAGTAATGGGCTTTATGAATAGTGGGCGAGTGAGAGCAACAAAGTCGGAGGGAGGAAATGTGAAGTTAACAGTTTATGGATGGAAAGCAGTCTCTGGTAGAATGGAGTTCAAAACCCTGTGAATGTGCCTGCCGACGCAGTTCTAAGGAAAAAGGTGGAGCAATTATATTAACAACAGCATTTGATTATCCCGGGCTTAAGAGCTAAGCACTTAAAACTATCTRGCTCCAGAAAAATGAATTCCTGGGTTCACTGCAATTTTTATTACCGTATAAAGAAACATTTAGAAGGAAACGTATAAAAGGGCTTTCTATACATAATGAAGCAGTCCTTACATGAGTTTAAGGTTTATGAAGACATCCCCCAACACCCTAACGGTCTCTCCTCCCTCATACAAAAAAAAAAAGCCGTACCCGTTCCTAAGCAGCGCYACAGCTCTTTTGATTGTGCATGTAGTGGCTCTTAAAAGAGCCTTTGGGTTTCTCGTGAGCTGCCTCCGTGCCTACTCGGCAAACGCTGCAGGAGGCTCAAGCRCGCTCGCCRCGGATGCGGCGCGCCAGCTGGATGTCCTTGGGCATGATGGTGACGCGCTTGGCGTGGATGGCACACAGGTTGGTGTCCTCGAACAGCCCCACCAGGTAAGCCTCGCTGGCCTCCTGCAGCGCCATGACGGCCGAGCTCTGGAAGCGCAGGTCGGTCTTGAAGTCCTGCGCGATCTCGCGCACCAGCCGCTGGAAGGGCAGCTTGCGGATCAGCAGCTCCGTGGACTTCTGGTAGCGCCGGATCTCGCGCAGCGCCACCGTGCCGGGCCGGTAGCGATGCGGCTTCTTGACGCCGCCCGTGGCCGGCGCGCTCTTGCGGGCCGCCTTGGTGGCCAGCTGCTTGCGGGGCGCCTTGCCGCCCGTCGACTTACGCGCCGTCTGCTTCGTGCGCGCCATCGCCCGACTGCTGAACACAAACACTCACGCCCAGCACAACACACACAGTGCCAACCCCTCTGCGCTGCCCCTATTTATAGGCCGCCGCCCGCGCCGATTGGCCGCCCGCGCGAGACCTCCCGCCCCATTGGACTGTTCGCGCGAGCCCTGGGAAAGCGCCCTTCTCTCGCCCCGCCCCCTCCCCCTTCCTACAGCGCTTTGCGCGGCAGAACAGGAGCGGCAGCACCGCAGGCGGGCTGTGCAGCGCCGCGCCGTCTCGCCGCTCACACCTCGCTCTCGGTCTCCTTTTTCCCAAACCCTCTCCTCGCGCGTTCATCCCCGGGCTCTGGATGGCTGCCTAAAACTGCTATCCGCAACCTCCTCCTTCCCCGAGGGCTCGYGGTTTCTTTCCGCTSASTTGCCGCGTTCGGCTCAGGGCCGCGGCAGAAAGGCTGAAGGAGCAGGCGGCAGCCGACTYCCCTGGGCAAGCAAAGCGTTCCCGGCTGCYGGCCCGGCCCGGTGAAAGCGCTGGGGCTCTTGCGGGGAGCGCGGCCCGGTGAAGCGAGCGCGGACTGCGAGCGGCGAGCGCCACCAATCAGCGCCGTGTCGGGAGGCGCGCTGCGCGCGGCCGGTCCCGCCCGCGGGGAGGTTCTGTGCAGTTCTCACTCAGGTCGGACCGAGCGCGGCGGCGGCGCGGCCCCAGCCCTGCCCGCCGGCCTCCATCCCCGTCCGCTCCTCSGCGGCGGTGTTTGCGGGGCGCGGGGGAACGGCGGCGGAGAGAGRGGSATGAAAGTCGGGAAAGAGCGGCGCAGGGAGCGTGTGCTTGGCGCTACCTGTGCAGGTCGGGGGCGAGAAGGCTGAGCAGCGTTCCGCTTTGCTTTCCCCGACAGCCCGCGAGCAAGCCCGTTGTGGGGTAGGGGAAGAGAGCGGAYATCCATCTCGCAGCCTTTTGCACTAAAAGAACTAAAAACCAAGACGACAGAGTCGTCTGAGACCGCCTRTGCTTTGAATGGTGGCGATTCATGCCCTCTTCTGTTTGCGTAGCTCAGAGCTGAACACTACGTACCTGCGGTCAGGAATGAATTTGTTTCGATCTTTTTGAGACGGCGTACAGCATTCTTTTGTCTAACCCGACGCTCCCAATCCGTGCATACACCAAGAGCGCGCTCCTACGGGTTTTTATCGAATTATGAACGTTCCCTGCTCCTTTGAAGCAAATCTAGAGCGCATCCGTTTGCCGTTAATAATGAACATTCCGCTTCCCTTAC